TATGCGGCAAATGAAGGGTATGTTGACTCGTGCCAAAGTCGAGCCTCAATGAAGCCACATGGCACCTTTTCTGCTCAAGATTGAACAAACAAATGTGTGGGCAGATAAACAAGTAAATAAATAGATAAACAACCAAGCGTGAATAAAATATCAAATAAACAAATGTTTTGCATGTACTGTGGGTTTCAGGCACAGGATACGCGCGAAGCAAGCCCTTACGAGGCAAAATATCGAGAAAACACAGTTACTTCAACTAGTAACAATGAAAGTAATGCGAGTGAGCATGTACGAATGGTCAGAAGGCAACAAGGTAGGGCAAAAGGAACATTCACAGTGGACGGAAAATAAACAATGAAGAGAAATGCGTTGAGATAGGATAGAGGGACAATTCCTAGAAGAGATTTTTTTTGCTAATTCCTTTCGAAATCTGGTAGCAATTGAGAATTGAGTTGAAGATTTTTGGTAGAGGGCTCAATGTCGAATTGAGTTGGAAGGCAGCAGAAGACTTGCCTAATGAACTTATTGCGAGCACATCATGGAATCGCCACATTCAAATGCATTACGGCGAAAAACATCCATCAATGCGGTTTGATTCCATTCTAGGGTAGAGATACTTAATTTTCTCCATGTTTTGGAGAACTCAAAAATTTTAGCAAAATTCAATAATATCAGTAGGAAAGTCTCCTGTAGGCCGAAGCCCTCAGCTATGCTAAGAGAATTAATAACAAGCACCGAGGTGGCAGGAAACTCTCATTGGGTCATTTTCATACCCGCGTTGTCTTAAAGGCACGGATAGCGATCAGATATAGAGGTTGAAAATATGGCGTCAGGAAGGTAGCGCGGTCCGCGGCAAACAACCTTGTACCGGTTTCGCAACGAAACGTAAGGGAGGGGCGCTATAGCGCAGTATAGCTTCAGTGACGCCTCCTTTTTCCCAGCGACTCAGCCTCCAGACTCCGCGTTCAAGGCCCGCCTTCGGTGGAAAACGAAGCCGCAGGACGAAAAAGCGTGAAAATCAGCACTTGTACGGCCCTAGGGTTCTTATCGGGGAATTAGCTGTCAGGATGAGGGGGTAGTGTGCGAGATGGAATTACTTGGGCACAACAAACTGGGATCGAAATGTGGTTCTATCTAGGGCAGAAGGCATGTTTTTTTCTGCTTCTCTCTTCATTCTCGAGTTACTCAGCAGCTTGTCGACTATATGCAGACCCCCACTATCTGTGATAGCGAATGATTGCAGGCTTTGCCTTTAACTGTTAACGATGTATGGGCTGTTCACCTGTCGTGTCGTTGATCACAACCTTGATCTATGGGCCGCAGCAGTGTTTCCATAGACCCCTGTAAGGGGCCAAAACAGTCTAGTAGACGGTCCCCACCTGAGGGACCCGAACTCATCCATTCCTTTCGCGCAAGGCATTCATTAAAAATGTCTGACCATCGCGCTGGTGTTCGTCCAGGTGCTTGTCTGATATCCCGTGGGATCCAGTCGGTAATCGCTCTGGCTTAGTGATCATCGTCTTGTCCTATGACGTGTTCGGCTCACCCGATCTTCGATTCTCTGACAAACAAGGCTGCGTCCCTGATCTTCGGGCGTTCACGGAATCCGGAATGTTTTCGAGAACTCCACACATTGTCATTTTCACACTGCGCTAGTGCGCCGGATAACGCTGACCGCAAGGTCATCCTGCTGGTGCAGAATTCAAATCTCTGACAATAAGTCCCTCGAATAAGAATTATGGGTAGTAGTGATCAGGCTCCAGTTGCAAGATGAGAGAAATGTTATTAGGTTGTCCGGAAAGTTCTCAGCGTTTTGTGCACCTATTTTTTGTACATTCACTGCTAATTAAAAACTCATTCTGCCTTGCTTATCGGTAGCACACCCTGTAGAGAATTTTTTGCGCTATCGTTGCCGTTTTACCACCGCTTGATAAACCCCATTTTTTCAAGATTTTTTTAAGCATGTGAAAAGAGCACTTCGGACGATTTTTTTTTCTTGGACTATAAATTGGGGCAATCCGCAATCGAAACAGCTCAACAAATTAACCAGGTGTGGAGGCTCACTAGTGCTAGAGAAAGCACTGTGCGGCAATGGCTCAGCAAATTTCGTTCTGGAGATTTCAGCCTTGAAGGTGAACCTCATAGCGGTTGACCTAAAGCAATATCTGACGAGGATGTTAAGGGGATTTTGGTGGCTGGCCCATCCCAAACAGTTCGAGAGATAGCAGAAGAGCTAGGCCTTGGCAAATCCACTGTTGCAGATGGTCTGGAACGCATTGGGAAGGTGAAAAAACTTGACAATTGGGTCCCCACAATCGGTGACCGGCAGGAATTGGCACGTCTCGAGGTTCCTTCTGCATTGCTTTTGCGCAGCAGAAACGACCTGTTTTTGGGCCGAATTGTCACCTGTGATGGAAAATGAGTCATGTATGATAACAGTAGACGTACCGGACAATGGTTGGATTTTGACCAACCACCGAAGTAATTTTCAAAGCCGAATCCTTCCTAATATTGACGATATTGACCATATACGATTTGGAGTTTTTCTCTTCCCAATATTTTGTTTTTCTTTTACTAATTGCATGCTTTTATTGTTGTACGAAGTGAAGAAAGCCATATCAATGGCTTTTATTTTCATCCAGGTTTCTAGGTTCGAGGCCGTGGTGGTGTAGTGACAAGTGGAGCGCTTACTACTCGCGCGGTCCTGGGTTCGAAGCCCAGGTGGACACCCGTCCAGGCCAACCAAGCCTTCTACCCTCGAGGGACGGTAAATTGGCACCAGATTCGTTTATGAGGATAAGAACGCTGACTTGTACATCGGCTGGCCCCGCAAGTCATTGTATAGGCCACATCGCATTCAATAAGCCACTATGATTCTGAATGGAAGTAGAATGCATGCCGCATCTCACAAGGGGATTGATTAAGGGCGAACATCTTATCCTTTATCCTTTATTCCAGCTTCAAGCGATCAAAATGAATTGATATTACCACCGCAACAACCCCCTCAACACAACTATTTGAGGGGTCGTGTCTTTTGTATTGAACTAACCGTACTGGAATAGTAATTCTGTAAGAGTGAAAGTAGCAGGTGACAACAATGACTTGGTAGTCACGCAACAGGTGTGACGGCCATTCCGTTGTTTTTCCTTGTACACCTAGACTGGTGTACAGGTTGGGGTCAGCGTTGCATGGAGTGATTCCACCTAGGACACAGAACGTTAGTAGTAGTACATTCTGCAGGAGCCCTAGTAGTATCTTAGGTATAGTGCTGCAAGAAGCGTGCTTGTTATTCAGAAAAATGAAGAGTAATTCTTTCAAAGATGATCATACTCCATTTTGAGATGGGCCACGCCTTCTACTTCTATTCGGAATCGCAGTTGCATTTTCAATGGGGTTTGTCTACATGCATCACGGTTCCGGTGGTCATGTATAAATGTTTTGCCCTTAAAGTATGCTTCCGAGCTACCCGTGGAATGGAAGGCCTGAGAAACGAGCTGATTCGAGGTCCACCTTCGAAGCGTTCGCGCGGTAAGTTGCGCAGTTGCAATTACATCACCTCCGCCATTATTGCTGATACTCCAGCCAGAACATGTTCCGGTTGGTATTTTTTTTGCAAAATAAACCCCCCCCCTCCCTCGGAGCTTTCCCTTGCTATCCGACCCCCTCCCATCAGGGCACGTCCTGCCGCTGGAGAAAACTTTTCGAAAACAAACCCCCTCCGCATTCCCTCTTTTCGGCTCCTCTACCACATTTCCCGAAATGCCCCAGAAATTTTCCTCTTCCTCCCAAGCATTTGCAAGGCAACAAGGGGGTGGGGGAGAGGAGGAGATCATCACCAACCAACTACTGGTTTTGATGTGAATAGCACTCACGCCCGTGAAACAGGGTAAATCAAGTACCAAAAATTTTCCTCAGATGATGCGACCACCCCTTTCCCCAGCGGCCATATTTGACCCCCATAAAGCTTCCAAAACTCCCAAACATTTTCAGCAGTCATTGTTTGATAACTGCTGTTTAACGCCGAAGTACGCGATCCGAAAGCTATCTAAGAATGCTGAGTTGTGGGCAAAAGTCGGACCACGCACGGGATTCGAACCCGCATCTTCTGCTTATCGGGCAGTTGCGTTCCCTATTACGCTACCGAGGCCACTTTTGACCACTCAGCTCAATGGCTATTTGTGCCATAGCCTTACAGCACTCACACGTTCCCTGACGAGCCGGTTAGCGATATCAGCAGCTGAACGCAAGGCTGAAGGCTTTTTACGAGTTTCAAGCTGTTTCAAGCGGTAGCGTAATAGGGAACGCAACAGCCCGGTAAACAGAAGATGCGGGTTCCAATCCGTCCGTGGTCCGACTTTTGCCCACAACTCAGCATTCTTATAATAACTTTCCCAACAGTTTTTTTTCAGAAAAATTCCTCCACTTTTAAATCACAAAGATACCATCGTGTGGGAGAACTTATTCCCAAAGGAACATAAGACCGTCACCCTTCATACGGCGACCAGCTACAGATTTGCCCCTCCTCCCCTCCCCCCCCCCCGTTCCCGCTGGGACGGCGCGCCATGATCAAACATTTCGATGTGTGATCTGTCAGAAAACGTGTAATGCACGAAGTATAGTGAATTTATTCTGTAATACTCTAGATGACAAACGACTAAACAACGGTATCTCCCATATAGGTGAACAGGGTGATTGTTCTCAAATGTACAGCATAAAGGGGGAGTGCTCGGCGAATTCACGAAGGACAGTTCAAAGAAGGGTTGTGTGATACCCGAATCAAAACGGAGAGACGATCAAACGAAAACGAGATAGGGAAAACTAGAAGTACTGCAATGGGACTGGCGCACTTTTCGGAAAAGAAAACGGACAGAGGAAGAGACGAAGAAAATAAAGAGAGACAGCGCAGCCGGAGGAACTATGACAGACAGACATTCGAACGGACAATCACGCTCAGGCTTAGAAGCATGAGCGGATCTGCTTATGAAATCCCTTCGAGGAAGAAATCAGTTCTGCTGTGATACTGTGGCGTAAATCCAGTGGCATCCAATCATTCCGTCTTTGGAATCGTGCAGTAAATCGTTCATTTCCTTGGCACTCAAATGGTTGATTGGGCGATCGAAAATGCGGGCGGCTATGACTAGAGGAATCTCCTGAAATTGTAAGCCGGATGAAAATGAAAGTGGAAGAATTCAAAAACCTGTTCAAAGAAAAATCAAAGCGGTAAGTGCTGCACAGAGTTTGGCCTCTCAAAGCATTTTCCAGGCTTTAAGTGCACTATTTCTCTTTGTACACCCCTCCCATTCTTTAGCCTTCAAGCTTTCTTTGCAATCGAATCTACTCACCCCGGATCTCGCGCGAGAGCTCACGAAAAGGTCCCAGAGTTGTTCGGCACGGCTGGCATTCTGAAATGAAGTCAGTCTCAAGTCAGCACAACCAGTTTTTCAGTTTTTCATCGATTTCTCCTTCGACATCAATGTTCAGAAATATAATGGTGCTAGCGAACCTTATCTAAGAATGGAAGAAGTTCGTTTTTAGTGGGCAAGCACACTTTCAAGGAGAGATCAGTGTAACTGCCAGCAGGAAGACCCTGAATAACAACAAATTGACACATTGACTGAAAAACCGAGGAGAAATAAGCGAACAGTGTTCCTTGTTGTTGTTGTTGGACAAAGGAAAGTGCAAAAAACAACACAATAGATTGGACGGAACGTGATTGTTTTGCCATGATCCTCTGCACTTTAGGACAAAATCACTTTACAGTCTTGTTCGCTGCGGAAGCAACGGCGCATGAGAAGGCGAGGGAGGGGGGGGGCTCGTTTTGGGCAGGCGCCAGTCCATATTCCACCAGTTGTGGGCACTTGTCAGCTTATACAATTGGTGAAGGACTGGTTGGCACCGCGCTGAACCCTGGCTCCCTGAGACCACCCATCTTCCGTAATGAACAAGTCATATAGCCTGTAGATTTATCATCTTCCACAGCGCTCTCAAGCCTACTAGCCCACTACTGCTACTACTACTCAAAGCGAATCTCAAAAATAGTCAACTGGCTCAGTAGACGAAAGTGCTGCAACCTAGTGATAGTGGAGGAAAGGGTACTACTCAGCGGTGCCTCTCTATCCCTCCCAGGGCACACCATCGTTGTTTAAAGGCAGATGGCACGATAATTTGATAGTCGGAATGAAATGCTAGCAGGGTGCTATATAGTGGGAAAATGGCGAAAAAACGAAGTGAAACGGTCAGTACCGGCGAAGAAAAGCCTTCGTTTTCGATCACTCAGAAAGTAATTTCGGACGAGTTCCCCGAAGGCATCTTGCTATGGTAGATACGGCTGCATGTATACACTCATATATCCATGCAGCACCGCAGCAGCTTCATATCAATCCCTTCGCTTCATATTTCACTTAGCAAACGAAGCAATACTAGCATCAGGTATGGCCGTCCATTTGTGGGCGGGCGGGCGCAGTGGGCGTTCGGATCGGTATGTTGTAGCTCGATAGGGCCTTATGACGGTACCCCCCTTGGAAAAGGCTCTACGCAGCCTCTGCTCAGATTCGTGGAATTCCGTCCTGTCATGCCTATCAATCCCACTCGACTTAGGGATTTATCGTGCCAACTGCCTTTGAAGCACAAATATTCGCATTTGACCGCTAGATATGGAGATCGCAATTTGTCGTAAGGAGATTCTGATTTTTCCTGTAACCCCAGTGGTACCTAGTGTACTCTTGGGAGAATGCTTGGAGGAGGTCGTACTGAGACGATAAAGCCTTGTCTAAAGTAGAGAGAATTTTTCCCGAGGTGCGAGAACATTGTTCTGGTTGCAGGGGGAACAAAGGAGGGCTTAGTTGTGAAGATCGTGTTCTATAATCTCCACTAAACCTGCTCGAGTCAGGGACCCGAAGGCGGTCCTCTCAGCTATGTTGGCAGCGAAACTTCCGATAACATGACTTTTGGGTCTGGACCGGAAATCCGAGGTACTGTAAGCGAACCAGGTATCATTAGTCTAGGGCGAATGTGGAATGTCAGTTGCGAGTGGCGCCTAATGCGGCCAAAAAACGGGTGATACTTGCAGCATTCGTATCAAGACATCATCTTCAACGTGGCATTTTCTGGCGCGTCCACTCGCTTGACAGCGTGATGCCGCGAGAAGTCACGTTCCACTCCCGCCTCGAACCGCTTCATCGCTCGCATACAAGTAGAGTATTTCTTGGCTGATTGACTTCCTATCACGTTCAATCGATTGAACCCTGGTGCAAACGATGCCTCTCTTTCGCTGCACTCGGGACTTAAGATATACACCGATAGCTGGCTATTAAAGGGACTATCCGCGATAGAAAGCTCACGCGATTTTGCAGAAACGTGGAAGAAAATTCGCCTAGTGAACCATTATGAAGAGAAAATGTCAAAGGGAACGTTGGAAACGCACTCGTCAGGCCTCATTTAGCCTCAAACAACTGTAGAGCGCGTTGGGACGATTCCCGTCGCCTGATTCCCAGTAATGAACCTTACGACTCTACAAGAGACGCTGAATGCATAGACTCCATGATATTTGCCCAGAGCCTAGCTTTTGGCTGGAAGGCCGACTTTGGAGGTGGAGTCTGGAGGCGGAGTCACTGAAAAAGGGATGTACCATTAAAGCGACTTTGTGCCTCAATTCCTTTATCGTACAACTTTCCGCCGCGAAACTGGCACAGGATTGTCCACTCCGTACTGCACTACCTTCCCACATGACCTCTTGCATTTTCATAAGTCATCGCGGACCGTTCCTCTTAACTCGATACAGCACTGGAACCAATTCAATTGCGTCATTGTAGACCCCATACTCTACTATTTACTATAAATGATTCTTCAATAACGGATGTTTTTCTTCAATTCAGGTTTCAAGGATGGTGTTCAGTGAGCTACCTAATCGACCGCTCAGCAATTCTGGACATTTAGAAGATGATGAGGGTCCGTCTGCCAAAATCCCGAAACAAGAGGATGAAATAAATGGACTATAAAGACACCCTGGTCCTAATGATCTGACGCCAAGGCAGTATCAGGACAAGTAATTATGATTACTTGCTGGTTTGCGAGCCACGGTGCTATTCGGATCTCCTGAAATACGCTGCAAGAGGCGAACATTTACGGTAAGAGGCACGCGCCTCGCCTAAATTTTATTTCAAATTGTAAGCGTTTAAAAGGTTGTCCCTAGCATTTATATTCTGTTAATTCAAGACTTGCTCTTCAATTTGCCATGTATGACAAATTGGTTTCCACGTAGCCAACCTTTCAGCATACCAGTGATGAATCATGGGAATGTGACAAGGCTATCGTAGTATGCCCGGTGGTGGACATGGTGAGCGGCACCGCGCCCGCAAGACGAGAGGTATTGCCATGGACCTTATTTCCGCTCGAATTTACATGAGTTTCTTTGCTTCAATCGACAATCTAACGCCTATCGAGATTTGCCGCACATCCCCGCATGCGCCGCCGCACGGCAGGTTGCGATTGTCTTGTTCGCTTCCTAACAACCATTGGTTAGCACTGTGTTCTATTGTGTTACCTAATAAGGCAACTCAAAGGAGGCTCGTAGAAGCTCGTATCAGCAACAGTTACAAAACTTGGTATGTCAGCTACCAGAACCGTCCATTCTCCCGATTCAAAGAGACTTTTGATACTACACAGCACATTGCTCATCGTCTCACGAGGCATGCCAGCACAGCAGCCATGATTTGGACCTCGTTTTAGCCTAGGAGTACAGTCCTCATCATTACGCACTGTCGGGGCGGCACAGCCGCACCGCACTGTGACGCGATAGCGGCTCGGTGAAAGGTAATCAGCTAATTTCGATGGAATTCGGCTGCAAATCCATACTTTTTTAGCTCTGCAAGCTTCTAAAGTGGAAGCTTAATTATTCTGAACAATTCTGAATTGTACCGGCTCTGATTTCCTTTACTTTTGTGTGATTATTATGCTCTTTTCCTTGTATTTTGCCTTATTTCAGGTATTTATTCAAATGGCTTACATTCTTTCAGATTCATTCAGAGTCAGAACAATTCTATAATTGGTCAGAATCACTCACCTTTCACTTTAGAAGCTTGCAGAGCTAAAAAAGTATGGATTTGCAGCCGAATTCCAGGAAATCAGCTGATTCGCCGTCACCGAGCCGCAGCCGCTGTCGCGTCACATTGCAACGTGCCGCCCCAACAGTCGCAGTACAGTAATGATGAGGGCTGCACCAGGGAAGTTTCGGAAAAAGTGTATTTCGCTAGGACAGGGGATGTTCGAAAAGTGGAGGCAAGCAACAACTGTGAGGGCAGAGCTCTTCGGAGCTCACTTTTTATCGGCTTTGGTGCAGTTACTGGCTTCTTTCAAATTACGACAAGTGAGTTACTATCCAAGGGAGGGATGAGGTTGATTCTGCTCTGAGCGCGACTGAAAGGTCAACGAGATGAAGAAAGTCCGACAAGTTTGCAACAAGCTCAAGTTTGCCTATCTGCGCGGACAACGCAGTCTGCGAAGGAGTTCGCTCCTCTCTACTTATAAGTGCAGACGCATCCATTCGAGCAGCAAAGCTGCCTTCAGCATGTTGGGCTTTGACTGAAGAATATTTTTCTATCAATATTTTCGTTTTTAGTTTCCTAGGCTTTCCACGATCACTTATCGTGTTATGGTAATTGTGGATTCTCCGCAAGCGTGATTGTACCTGGCTGGAGCATTGAGCCGGTTTGTTTCCTTGGAAGATTTGCACGAAGTTCTTCAACGAGCCGCCCATTGTTTGACAGATGTCGCAATGAACGCTGAAATCGATTGAGAGCTTCTACCATTCATTTAGCGAGGAAATTGATTTCTGTTTTCTTATAACAAATTATACATCGACACTAACCATGATCCAATTCCACCACATCCACTGCTATCTGCATTTACGCATCTCTCCGGTTTTCCATGGATTCCAATACGTGTTTCGAGATGAACATAGTACTTCTTGGAGCCATTCAAACCAGGTGGGTATACCTGCAAAAAGGGAGGTTTTAAAACATTGGCGCAGAAAACTGGGATCCAAATTCGAGAGAAAGCATATTTTTTGTTGAAGATTAGGCTCTACTTTGGGAGTCCTCAGCGAGGAAGTCGTATTTGGTCTGGTGGGGTGGGGGGGGGGCAGAGAAGGGGATGTATTGCCTTTGAGGGGAATGGTTATAATTGTTATTGATTTCTCTTCGGTTTTCTTTTCTTCCCTGTTCCAAAGTTCCGCCTCTCCCCACGTCCGCTTGAAAAGTGGTAACAACTTGGAGAACTGAGGAGATGGTAGAGACGTTTGGGAAAGGGGTGGAGGGTAGTCGTACCAGCCGAAGTTGTTTTGAAGGAGGGTCGCATCTAACGAAAATTTGCCGCAACAGTAGTCCGTTTCGCAGCACGAAAGGGAGTCGCACTTGGCTGAATCAGCGCGAATAACGCTTGTCCGTGTCCCTGGAGGGGAGGGGGGGGGGGGAAGGGGGTCGTGTCTGACTCCAGCAGAACTTCCTCATTAGCTGATTTTTCCCGTTTCACTCGCTATATATCATCTAGTGGCGCGCGAAACTACAGTTTGCGATGGTCTCCCCAGCCTACCCGCGATCGACGGCAATACTCTGAAAAAACGTGGTAAAAGATGAGTCGGTTGACTTGGTTGTAATCCAGGAAAGCAAGCGGGATACAGGGTCTCCAAAATTGCGCAGGAAACTAATTGTGTCGGCTCCCTGGATGCAAACAACTGGGCATACAGACTAGTTTAGTTGACCAGGTTTATTGGCGTCAATGGTAAAACGTTCATTGACGCGAAGAAAGTGAATGGGATGGGAGGGGTGTGTAATAAAGCCTGGGGTGAGGTTAGAAAGGCAGAGCACCGCTAATTCCTCTTTCCACCTCTCGTCCGTTGGAAGCTTGGGCGAAAACTGAGTGGTGCTGTGTGAAGTCGCTCCTCCTACGCACTAAGTTTTACCCGAAGTTTGGGGGTATTGTTTCCCGCCTGGGTAGGATGTGGCAGCGGGGTCGTCGTAATAATACTTTTATTCCAGCCAATCCGATGCCGCTACGGGGTTCAGATACTCCTCTACCACCTCATCTTCGTTTCTCGGACTTCAGGGGGAGGGGCCGCACATTGAAAAAGCATCCCATCGGAGCGGCGGAGGTGGACATTTGGCGCGATTACCACTGGCGCGGCACCGACTCCAAATCCCGGATCGACTCCCGCCCAATCTAACCAAGGCCTTCTACCCGCGGGGAACGGTAAATTAGTACCAGGTTCGTCTGGGAGGATGAAACACTGACTTGTACATCGGCTGGCCACCGCGCCATTGTATAGGCCACATCGCATTCAATAAGCCACCGATTCTGAATGGAAGTAGAATGCGTGCCCCATCCCACAAAGGGATTGATCAGTGGCGGGTTTATCCTTTTTTATCCTATCGGGAGTACGTGTACAGTGCCCTGAGTCAGTAGAAAACTCGAATTGTTTGTTATCTGTTTCTGCATGTTGAGTGAAAAATCGCAATAATACCTCTCAAAGAACTCACTTCCACCTTTCCTCCGCTCATTCGGAAGCATTTATGACCCTGCGAGTTCGTCTCCTCGTGGAACTGAACACCAGCAGTTTTGTATGAGGGAAATTTGATAAGTAGATTCTCCTTTTTCGGTCCTAAAAATCCACGAAATTTTTATGATATGTGTGACGATAAATGATAAATGAATGATGGATGTGTAATGGTCATAATGTGTCCTATGAATGGCTAGTTCATAGCAGATGAAGAAGAAAGAGCCGATCCGATCAAGCATTTGAGCGAATCTGGAATTGAGCGACTTCGCAATGGCGCAATCCTGTTTTGAGGTCACGCACTAGTGCTTTGCATCAATGGGTCACTTTAAAGTGCTGGCTGAAAAACTCATACTGACGAACATTCTTCTCCCCTTGCGAATCAAACCTAAACTTAAATTCAACTTCGGCATTGTTCTTACTTCATATGATGACTATCTAACTGTTCACGGAACTTCTGTCAACTTGAAGAAACCCCACTGCGGATCAATAAACGGGAGAACGTGCATCAGTCACACTTTACAAATGATTTATACGAAGAAGTTGTTATGGGAGAGAAGGGCAAAATATGATGATTATTCCTTCTTCTATCGACACAAATGATCCACGAAATTGTGGCATCTCTAGCTGTCATTAATCAGGATCTTCCTCGTCACCACGGGCTAGCAAGCGGCGATTTTCGCGGATTTCAATCGAAATGAGATTTATCCAACGCAACGGCTTCTTTTGCTAGCTCATCCAAGTGGAATAGTCTAGTCAATTCAATGGGCCAATTGGTTCAGTCGAGGATGGCCGCCATTGCAATGGGGGTGCCAGCAATGGTCCGTTCCTCCGCCTTAGGGTGTGCCAGCCCAGGTTTGACCCTCCTCGGCTCTGCCTTCACTTTCGAAGTCTGATTCGGTTCCTTAGTAGTTCCGTTGTTCGGCAACTGTGGCAAAGGAGGCGCCTGCCTAGGTTTGGTCTTCCGCTGGCAATGGAGGGGCAGGCCCAGGTTCTGCACTAGGTACCGTCCGTGACTTTCAGGCGCCACCTACCACAATCGTCTGAGTTAGACCAATTAGGGTATTTCCTCTTGGCAACACTTCAGGAATTTCGCACCCTGAGGTAACGATCAGAAAGTCCATCAGCAGCTCTTTTTGCCACCTTGGATATTCCAAGATGGTTTTCTGGAAATAGCGGTCCTGACTCGACCCGGAATGTTAGGTCAGAAGCCTTTTGATACCGGGTGTAAACCGATTTACCCCGAACTGTGGACTCCTTTCCGAGTCTTCTTTGATCCGATATTGCCACGGTCACGAGGCGATGTGCAGGATAGATAATACCTGCCAGTGTTCCCAGCCTTCACCGTGTTACAGTTCTACCAGTACAGGCAGATTCAATTTGCTGGCTCGTCGTAACAAAATGAATAGGCGAACCCAACGCCGGTTAGACAGTAAGAGTACTGTAATCGATAAGTGATAAAAATAATACTTCCAGTTGTGTGCCGGTTTGACTAACGACGACTTCTCGACCAGGGTAGCGTTGGCTAAAATGCACTAGACGCGAGAATCGTAAATATTGGTAGAAAAAGGAACCGCAAACTGCTTTATGACCGAGAAGGGAAATGATCGTATTGTTGCAGATTAATGAATGAATAATAAGTGGACGTGCGCAAAACGGAATTAGACACTTATCAAATACGTCGTCAAGGCCGCACTGTCTCATGCGAAAGTTTACTGGGAAACTTGGCCTTTGAGGTAGTTCTGTTACAGTATATGAGAAGCCGTAAGGGCGAAGTGGCAAAGCGACATGGGTGGAAATGGAGAAGCTCAGAGCCCGGTAAAAGGTTTGAGGCTCCGAGTAGCGTCAAAAATGAACAAGGAAGTAGAAAAGTTGTGAGAAGAAGTGTCAGAATAATCACCTGAACTTGCCGAGCATGGGAAGTGTCTTTCGATACGAACAGAAATTTCGGCGCCTGAAGTTGATTGAGGTAAGTAGACAGCGATGAGGAGAAGAGCGACAGGAACGAGGTGTCGCACCATGTTCATCGTATCACTACTGGAAGATTCCTCGCGACGCCTTTTCACTGTACGCCACTGTTTTTCACCCTCCGCCTCTCGATCTCTCGCCGGGAGGCGGATCCAACCACCTGCCGCCGCCCGTCGACAATGACGACAACGACGGATGGTGCTGGTGGTATGGGGGGTGGGCAAAGCAGAGCAGGCCGTCTGGACGTGATCCGTCGCGTCACACCATTGAACGAAGACCGTATGCCGTAACTTATGTTACTTGTTATGTGCTGCTGACCTATCAGATGCAGCATGAGCATCTTTCCATGTTCACGTGCAAGACGACCGCCTGAGAAGGCAACTACAACTCCTTGTGCACCTTTAAGAAACCGGTTTTGCCGAGTTTGTCGCCCATGCACAACAAAATAGGTGACATACGAACAACTCGTGGAACTGCTCACAAGTAAACAATAACAGAAAACAAGGAAAACTCTTGGCATAATCATTCTTCTGCGAGGTTGATCTTCATCAGGTTCTCCTTCGAAGGAAGAGACAATTTGGCGCTCACAGACTTGGGGAGAGGATGGCATCCGAGGTTCCTCGTGCAAAGCGAGAATTAACGCACTAAAGGTTACCATAAAGTTGTCACCTTACAAAGGAAGTCTTTCAGGACCGAGCATCAAGCTAAGAAGGGAGGACCTGGAAGACCTCCCTTGTTAGCTGAAGTGAAGAGCTCAGGAGCTGATGACTGACATTGGTTAGGTGAATCAATTTCTAGCACGGTAATTCTTTTGCAGTGACGATAATCCCAGTCCTGCACAAAGAGTCCTCTGAGTGACCTTTAGAGCTCATTAGCGCAGGTTCACTTTGAAGATTATGACATTTTCACTGGCAGTCCAAGCGAGAGAGGCAATGCTGGTGGTCGCACGTGCGCGCAATTCGCACCAGCACCTCATTGGATCGCCGTGACGCGAATCTCCAGCAGCACAAATTCGAGCGGTAGTTTCACCTGTTAACCATCGCGCACGGAGGTCTGAGACACGCTCATAATTTCAGGACAGCAACGACTATGCAGTATAACAAAACAGTGACATGAACTGTACTGTGAAGTAGTGGAAACATTAACTCAAATACTATGGTTCCGCGAACGCACCCAGTTTTATGTACAATAATAGCTGCGCGTGCGGTTCAATTGCCCAGATGTGAAGCAGGTCCTGGGTTGTACAGTCTCTATGTACGTTTCACCAGTGACCCAAACCTCCACGAGCAGGTGGGCGCGGGACGAGAAAAGAAAGTCCCAGGGTGAAGCAAATAACGAGATAGACGTGAATTCCGCTCAACCTACAGCCTTCGACGATGCCATCTTGGAGACAGTACGCATTACTACGACCTAGGCACTAGTGTTGTGTAGGTTATCTGGACTTGAACCTTGAATTTTACGCACAATTTCTGGGCAGTACGCACTGCTTTCACCCTAAGCTTTTAGTATAGCTTGGTAAAGGATCATGAGTTCATGTAAGGAAGATATCCCTGTGCTTGTTCTCTTCACTTGATTTCTAGCCATTTTTAGTTCCCCATAGTCTGAGCGACTTAATTCTTTGTTGGCTTTGAAATTCTTGCAACCTCGCCCGAGCGTCGCTACTGACGCCACCCTGTGGGTGGTTCTCTTATGTTCAGGGGAATGCACCCCATGTCCTTACTATTTTTGGTATAAGATCCACCACGCAAAACTCGCCAGGCTCCAATGCGGAACCCTACGTATTAATATTTTCAAACCGTTCAAACCGTTCTCTCCCACGACAGATGAAGTTGCGGAGAGGATTTATGGAGGGAGGAGGGGAGGGTGGGGGTCCATTTGGGCTTCCTTTTACAATTTTCTTGAGGGAATGCTAACTTTCTGTGTAGTGTGCAACAAGTTAGTTGCTGAAATAAATTTAGATGTTATCATCTCGGACAAGATAAGGACCTATGGTCACACTCAGTCTGATTCTGTTTTTTCTTCGTTTCTCTTCTCGGAAACACCCAAAGAACTCCGAACACAGTGAATCCAATGATCACGTCCAAGTGTTACACTTCCGAAACACTAAACTGCCCGATAACGTTTCATAGCAGACGACGTCGCCTTGCCCTCCTGCCTGATTGACGCACACAATGAAAAGGAATTTTTTATTACAGTGAACATCAACGGGTGATTGTCTTGTCACCGTCAACGGGGGGCACTTGGAAAAATGCTTTTGGTGGGCTTTTGTTTGTTCTAACTCACGCGGGTGTTGTGTTAGAATCATCCTCTTTTGTGTTCTGTGGGAATAGTGTCGTACATGAACGAAGTGTAATGAATGATTGACTTGACAATCATTCACAGTAATGTCGAAACCAGTTCTGCTTTGACATGTTCACAAGTGAATCTGCCCTCTTTGATCTGGGACTAAAGCAAACGTGGACATAAATTACGAACATTAGTACTTCTGATAGTATCGTCTAAATCTCATCCCATTTCGCTGCAGCTCTTCTTGTTTCCAGACGCTTCTGCGTCGCTGCGAGACTGAGGTACTGTAGATGTTCCTTGGCCAAAGTTGCACTTGTCCCTCGGACCGAGGTGTCTTTAGACGATGGCTCATTCCTTATATCACAGCCATGCAATTAAAAACGGCGAAAAAAGGGAAATTGAAGAGAGACTGTAGCATTACAATTGCACTTAATATTTTTGATGACGTCTATAAGGGAAGGACTGCCTTGAGAAGTCACCTGCTGGACAGCAACGATTGGGAACGCAGCCCTTTAGGAAAAGATGCGAGCTAAATCTGAAACATGCTGAATTTTAGTAAAAGTGAAACATCACTTTCAATTACCTTGCGTAGTAGTAGTAGCTCTGATATGACATAAAAAGAACATAGCCCCAGGATCGCCCGAGATTACGATGGCCCTCCAAAGGGAGACATGGAGGAAGGTTGTAGGCATGTAACGGTAGGACCACGTGGCGTCGCGCGCGACATTTGCAAGCACCATGCGGTCATCATCGCGCGCGATGCTATGGTTTTGTTATCGCGACAGCGACAATTCGCTGCTATTTTTTTTCAGCACGGCAGTCCGTCGTCCCTCAACAATGCACCAGCAAGTACAGTCACTGAGAGTATGCTGTCTAGAAAGCATTGTGACGGTCAAATGATTAGTGATCAGCAGGAGCTAAATTACCTTGCGAGCAGAATCTGTGCAGCTCCTCTGCACCATAACTGCTTGCAATCACCCTATTCATGCAAATAAAATAGAATCCAACGGTCATGACGATCCAGGTCCTATCAGAGCAGAAGCATGGCCGGAAATTAGCGAACACAAACTAATTCAACAATGAGTTTGCCGCAAACGGGCGCTCCGATGTACACTCCTTATCCCTAAGCTAGAGTAGGCGTGGCATTCGAACATGACACGGAACTGGTTACTCGTGGAATATTCCAGTCTGGGACAACTGTCATCTTGTTCTGTGTTGGACAGAGACACGACAGCAATTGTGTCAATATGAAAATATCTCACCAGAAGCATAGACTCCTTCATGTTAAGTTGAAACATGCGGCCACGCCTACTCGACCTGAAGGATTTCGAGTGTAAGTCTGCGGTGCTTGCAGATTGCCGCGCACGCAACGTCGCGTGGTCCTCGAAACCGTCCGCGGTTGTATTCGCCCCGCAAACCTCTTTCCAGTTTTTGACTTTTACCTTTTTAGGCGATTCCAACACCTCCGAAGCAGCCTGCTTCCTTGATCTAGTAGTTTGGAATGCAGAACTCCCCTCCCCGCTCGATGGACATCGTCATTAAATATCCTTCGAGGCAGAGGTGCGCAGTGGAACGTTTACGCGACGTGCGCGTTCCATTCAAATTCACGGATCGGCTCCCGCCAAGACCAACCAGACCTTCTATCGCTCACGCGGACGGTGATTTATGTTGATAAATTCGTCCTAGAATTTGCCTTTAATCGCTTTCTTTACCCTTTACTGCAGCGGTCTTCCGTAGTCAAGCCATTCTTTTGCCGGCTTTTTTCTCCAAGAGCGATCGAAAAATTCGCGTGCAGAGTAATTTGCCCTTAACACGCGCCCAGATCCCATCGCTCGCACGACAACGGCCTCAAGTCCGCGCCGAGTGAAAATAGCCTTTCGTGCTCATCTGGATTACGGGTGCCAAGCTCTTCGGGTCCGACGAGCTTGATATTCGCGTTCAGTGTCAGCTGTCAAAAGACTTTCTGGGTACAAGTTCCCAGCCAACTCTGGCCAGCGGAGAAACAAGAAGGTGAAGAACTGCCTGATTTTGGAGGACTGGGACAGCAAATTGTAGATAATGACGAGAATTGTCCTTATGGTCATGAACTACCCCCTGTAAAATTGTCTTCGAAGAATGTTTCACGTAACAAGGAAGATAGAAGAATAATCGCGCTGAGGTCGAGTGGAGAGTGTGAACAGTAAATACCTATAAAGAACAGGGCAGCATCGTTGTTGGGATTCCCGCAACAGGGGATCGTATTGATAGAGGGGGTTGTATTTGCGCCGAAGAAAATTTTTGATAGGTGTCTTTTCTTGGCTTCGGGGGTTTCAAGGGGGGGGGATCGTATCCGGTCGTTGTTGGGGGGGGACAAGGTCATATCCCCTCTTTTGTGGGAGGTTGCCTACTCTTCGGGTTTTTCCTCTTTCCAATGTTCTACATTCCCCCCCCCCTCCCGCTCGACAGCAAAGTTTGTGAAAATAAAAGGAAATTTTTCGGGAAATTCGGGAAAACTGGTGGAAGTTGGAGTTGGAAAAATCTAAGAAATGGTTAGAGAGGGCGTATCGTATTTCCCCACAGCTCGATGTGGATGGAACCAGGGGGGGGTTTTCCCCTACAAACCGACCCCTTAAAAGATAAAGGGGGTCGTATGGGCTCAAAGCAAAATCCCCAATCAATGATGTGCCCTGGTAAAGAATAAACATTCGTCATAGATTGACGGAGACTTTATCGCGGTGACAAAAATTTAACGAAAAAATCCTGTGCAGAATTGACTTCAACACCAAAAAAGTGT